GACAGGACATTGAATTGTTATTTGACAGTAAAACAATGGAGAAAAACTGATGACCAACTGGGGAAAGATTCTGTAGCCTGTTATCAATCCCTTGAGCCTCCCATCAGCAGTTTTTGTCTGACTCTTCCCTAGAATCACAGAATCCTAGGGTTGGAAGAGACTTCAGGAGGTCATTGAGTCCAGCCCCCTGCCCGAAGCAGGACCAAGAAGGCAATTAGGTTGGTCAGGCATAACTTATCCTTAGTGAATCCATGTTGACTATACCTGACCACTTTCCTCTCTTCCAAGTGATTCAAAATGGATTCCTTGAGGATCCCTTCCCTGGTTTTTTTGGGGACTGAGGTGAGGCTGACTGGTCTGTAGTTCCCTGGATTGTCCTTCTTCCCTTTTAAAAGATGGTCACTACATTTGCCTTTTTCCAATCATATGGGCCCTCCCACAATTGCCATGAGTTTTCAAAGATAATGGCCAAAGACTCCGCAATCACATCAGCCAACTCTCTCCTCACCCTGAGATGCATTCAATCCATCCCCATGGTTTTGTGTATGTGTAGCTTTTCTAAACAATTCTTAACCTGTTCTTTCTCCACCCAGGGCTGCCCACCTCCTTTCCATACTGTGTTGCCTAGTGCAGTAGTCTGGGAGCTGACTTTGTCTGTGAAGACAGAGGCAAAGAAAGCATTGAGAGCTTCAGCTTTTCCCACATCATCTGTTGCTAGGTTATCTCCCTCATCCAGTAAGGGTCCCACTCCTTCCCTGACCAGCCTCTTATTGCTAACATGCCTGTAGAAACCATTCTTGTTACCCTTCACAACTCTTGCTAGCTGCAATTCCAATTGCACTTTGGCCTTCCTGATACACCCCTGCGTGCTTGAGCAATATTATTTATACTCCTCCCTAGTCATCTGTCCAAGTTTCCATTTCTTGTAAGCGTCCTTTTTGTGCTTAAGCTCACCAAGGATTTACCCGGTAAGCCAATCTGGTCGCCTACCATATTTGCTTTTCTTACTGCACATCAGGATGGTTTATTCCTGTGCCTCCATTAAGGCTTCTTTAAAATACAGCCAGCTCTCCTGAACCTCTTTCCCCCTCATGTTAGCATCCCAGGGGAATCATGTCCATCAGTTCTCTGAGGCAGTCAAAGTCTGATTTTCTGAAGTCCAAGGTCTATATTTTGCTGTCCTTCTTTCTTCCCTCGGTCAGGATCCTGAAATCAACCACCTCATGCTCACTGCTTCCCAGGTGGCAACCTACAACTACATGCCCTAGTAATTCTTCCCTGTTTGTAAGCAGCAGGTCAAGCTGTGTATGGCCCCCGGTTGGTTCCCTATACTCAGTGTTGTCATTTCAGGGTTTTTCCTATTACACAAATTCCCCAGATTTCTTCTCTGGCTGGTGCTAGTGGAGAGAGGAGTGCCACAGACTAACCCTGCAACAATGCAGGCTTGTTCCAGCCTGCTTCCTAGGTTTTCTCCAGGGTAATCCTAAGAGTTCCAAATACTGGGGCCTCCATAACTTCCTTTGGAAGACTATTCCACAATCTAATGTATCGCAGCATCAGCAAGTATTTCCTCATATTCAGTACAGGACTATGTAGCACTTTAAAGACTAACAAGATAGTTTATTAGGTGATGAGCTTTTGTGGGCCAGACCCACCTAATAAACCATTTTGTTAGTCTTTAAAGTGCTACATAGTCCTGTTTTTTGTTTCAGCTACACCAGACTAACATGGCTACATTTCTATCTCATATTCAGTGTTATTTTTTTCCCTTATTTTCTCCTTTTCAGCTAATTTCCTTAATATCTTCAGATGCACATGCAGATCAATTGATCTCTTATGTTCCTATTTCCCTAGTATTCCTCTACTTGCTCCTCTGTCATAGTTTATAGGCTCTATCCTAATTGCCTAAGTTCTTCACTGTATTTTTCTTGTATTTTTGAGTTGTCTCATTTCATCTTCCTCCTTAATCACTAATAAACATACTTTTTTTCCCTGTTACATTTATAAAAGCTCATTTTATTTTCCATAATTACTATGACTGGCTTAATTTTCTTGATGCCCACTGTATTTTCCTGGAAGCCTGAGTTCTTCAGTTTGGTTGACTCTCCATTTTCCCATTACTAATATACGGCTATAGAAAATCTCAGATGTATGAACACCCCATGCAAACTACATCAGCCAGTATGTTTTTCTCTTCCGTTATTTTCCAGAGACCTTGTAGTCTGTTTTATCTTAATTGCGGGGGCCTAACTCTCCACTGCCACACACCTTGCATAGCTATCTGCCCTTGTGCAATGAGGATGTAAAACAATGCCAAATCAGAAGAGTAGCATTTGACACCAATTTTGCAAAGGCATAAATGAATATCTAAGGGCCCGGTGTATTTCAGCATTCCCCAGTTGATGGCATTTAATGCCTTTCTTTGATTGCGCCTTACTCATTGCTCCCAGTCCAAGCTGAGCCTGAGGTAAAGTCCTGAGCTTTAGCCTTTCAGGGTATGTCTGCACTGGAATAAACATCAGCTGACTCCAACTCATGGGGCTTAGGCTGCAGGGCTAAGGTGTTCATTGCTTTCTGTAACTGTATTTTAAGAATGGTCCTCTGCAATTTGGTATTGCAGAGGCACAGTCCACAAGGTGGGGCCAGCTACATTTTTTTGTGATTCCCATCCGGAAGGGAGGAGGAGGGGGGAGCGTGCAGTGTATTTAATGATAGCAGCAATGTGTTCAGTGGGTTTAGACTTGAGAAAGTTTACATCAGAATTTGGCAGGATCTCTCTTCTCTGCTGCGTATAGACTGTTTTTCGGTCAATTCTGAATGATATTCAATGTGGGAATTCGTGTCGCTAGAGCAGATGGTGGTAAATATTATACTGTGCTTATCAGTGCTTAGTGATACATTGACTGAATGAAATGGGCACAAAAAGGTTGTTAATATTTTATAAGTGAAATAAAACACATTTAGCATTTATGACCCCTTACCCTGTTCCCTAAGCCTTTACCTGCCTTTAGGAAAGAGTCCGCTAGGATAGGGCATGGATGCACTGTACAGCCTTTAACCCATCAGGGAAAAAAGCCCTACAGCACAGCTGTTGCTGGTCCCAGGTCAGCTGACTCAGGCCCACAGGAAGCGGTGCAGGTGACATAGATTTCTTACATACATGAGGAGGAAGGGGAGGGATGGGAAAGGAGAGACACCAGCTAAGGCAGGGAGGGGCACATGATTGCTTCATGTGATCCTCCATTTGACTCTGCCCCCACACATTCTTCCCCCACCTCCCCATCCCACGTTACCTGGGGGAGATGGCTGGGGGAGCAGTACAATAGCCAGAGGAGATGCTGGCAGTGCTGCAGGGAAAGCAGCAGAAGCCCCAGCCCCAATCCCTGCCCCTCCATGGAGCTGCCTCTCCTCCATACAGCAGCCGCCTTGCTGGAGGATGGGGCTGGAGCTTGTCCTCCTTTCCCTGCTGGGAAGGGCAGGCGGCAGAGTGGGGAGCAGAACATTGACAGCTCCTCCAGCTGCTGTTATCACTCCCAGCTCTCCTCCTTTCCTCTCCCCTCCCCGAGCCCTGCTAGCCTGTGGGGCTTCATAGAAACCGAGCCAGAGAAGAGGCAGCTGTGTGGAGGGGGTGGGAATGGTACCGTGTCTCCATGGTAGGCTGGACTGGCTAGAAGCATCTTGCTGGTACAGCGCACTGGACTATAGCGGCCTACTTGCACTGCTACTCACAGGACTTGGGCTGAGGCCCTAGACATTACTATATAGATATTTAGGCTTGGAGCCTGAGCTCTGGGGCCCTCCATCTTCTCCCGATCCCAGAGCTTGGGCTCCAGTCAAGCCCAAATGTCTACATAGCAGCTTTTCAGCACTGGAGTCTGGGCCCAAGTCAGCTGACTCAGGCCAGTCATAGGTTATTCCCATGTAGACATACCCCTAAGTAACCAATCCAAATCCAAGCCGTACAGTAGCCAGAAGGCCTAGAATTAAGGCTCTCATTCAGCAAAGTGCTTAACCCTGTGCTTAATCTTAAGCCTGCGAATAATATCATTGCACTCAATGGGACAACTCCTCACATGTTTAGAATTAGACACGTCCTTAAATGCTTAGCAACCCTGGAGCTTAAATGACTATGAATGCTCATCCTCTTGCCCTTCTTTATTGTTCTGCCATGAAACTGAGCACTTCAAACTGTCAAACCAGCACTTTCCCCCCTCCCCCCGCACTAAATAGACCTTAATTTTAACAACAACAAAAAGACAGGCAAGGAAAGATGCAGGCTATGTCTACACTTAAAACACTACAGCTGCAGCTCATTGCTGTAGGTAATCCACCTAAGCAAAAGAATTCTTCCATCTGCCTAACACTGTCTACACCTGGGCTTAGGTCAATTTAACTAGTCTGTTAGAGATGTGGATTTTTCATACTCCTGAGAAATGTGTCAAAACCAATGTAATTTTTTAGTGTAGACCAGCCTTATTCTGGTTTCCTGTTTGGGGACTAGTTCAATTTACCCTTCACTTACCTGACAAAAAGAGAACAAGTACAGCTTAATGTAATAATATGCATCTAAATATTGCATTCATATAGCTGCTGTGCTCAGAATTTTGATCTTCATAAATTTTTTCCTGTAGATTTAGTGGTTTTTTGTTCACAGGTAGAAGGGAACTTTATGTTTCAGTGATGTGTAATTTACAATTCATTTGTTGGCCTGAATAACTTTTTTTTTTCTTTCTACAAATTATGGACTGAAGCCTGCTTGTCCTAGGTAATATGTCTCTAATTTCTCTCCATGAATGATGTGACCTGTATCTGGACCGTGTCATACTTGGAAAGCTAAAAAAGCTTAAAATTGTATTTAAATGGTTATTGGTGGGTATTGTACTTCTGGTTAATTCAAAGTTAGTTTAATTTCTTCTTTAATTTTGTTGTTCTTCCCAAAAATAAAAAGTAAATGAAACCCTTAACATTTTGGAATGATGTTAAAAATATCATGGAGAACAAAGACCTTGAATTGCATTCTGAATATTGTTTCAAAGTGAAAAAATAACTGTGTGCCTGGTACACAAAGAACCATGTCTCCTTCCTTATGTGACAGAGGAATCAATGGAATTCATAAAAAGGGGGAGGAAAGACAAAAGATAGGAGATGCCTTGCTTAGCACAAGCAGGTCACAAGTTCCTTGAAAGGAAGTGGCTGACTGTATCTCCATATGTACCTTTTTGTTCTTTGCCTTGGATTTGCTGGTCGGTGACATGCCTCTTTGCCTGGCTCTATCTAGAGCCTGTAGCCTACAGGAATTTGGACAGAGTGGTACAGACATCGCCGACAGAGACTGCGATCACTGACTATCCCTTTAAATGCAGTCTCATGACTTAGACCTTACTCCACCACATATTAAAGAAGGGGACAGAGTACATACTGAGCTCCAGCTCAGACGCCCAGGACACAGCAAGGCAATTATATACAACAAACTGTGAGTAAACATAAGAAGTTAGAGGTGCTCTCTAGAGCAAAGGGCACAGAAAGAGATTTGTGTGAAATCCTAAATTGAAAATGATTGGAGTAGTTTTTTAAAAAATACATATTTGCATAAAATATTCAGAATCTAAAATGATGTGGAGAAAATTGTCTCATGGCAGCAGTTTGGAGGATCGATTATTTATTGTTTTTAAGAAACATTCTAAATAGCTTAGCCTCATGCTACCTCGACCTTGATTCAAAACATAATTTCCCCCCATAAAAAAACAAAGCGGTAAGTCATAATTACACAGGTCTTTTGCAAATTCGAGCCTATTTGCTGAGTTGGCAGCGGAGGTATTGTATGATGATAGTGAGGAGGGATGCCTTAGCTACAGATTTTTGCACACTAAGACCAAAATTCTCAAACCTAGTGCTCCGTACCCACCACTCCCAATGGAAGTCAGAGGGATCCTTGAATGTGCAGCATCTCTAAAAACTGATCTCTTGTGTGTAGGTACCTAACTATAGATATAGCAGCCTATGGATGCAGCGCCTGGGGCACTTGTGTTAAATGTTGCTTAATATTTATTAAGAAATTAAAATTAGAATTGAATGGGTAATTAATTGCTGGACAGCTGCTTTTTACACCAGTTCATGAAGTCTGAATATTTTTGTGTGTGTGCATGTCTTGGCCATGTGTATTTTAATGGTCAACCATCAGATAAAAGTAGCTATACTGGTTGCTGTCTTGAGGCAGACTGGACATTTTTAGCTGGTGAAAGCATGTCAGAGTCCTAAGATATTTTCTTTGTGTGTGACAATGACTGGACTATGCCTTGGTAAGTTTTACCACTATTTATTTTCCTGATAAGTTTCAGCTTAATGAGCATGTAGAACAACAGTTCACATGTCATCTGTCTCTATAATTTTCTGAATATTCGCATTGTTAATTACAGGTGTAATTGTCTGTTGGAGATACTCCAGAGAGTTCCTTCATGTTGCCCTTTGTCTTTACTATGCTCATTCTGTACTCCTGCTTCTTAAACAATGGAACCTGTGATTTCTATGATGAGCTAAAGGAGTTGAAAACTGAGTTTGACATCAATCTCTACCAGCAATTAGCAGAACCAGAGAACAGAACTAACTTGATAGTTGCACCAGCAAGTGTGTCCATTTCTTTGAGGCTACTGCAGTTTGGAGCTCAAGGGAACACTTTTACACAGTTGGAAGATGCTCTTGGATACAACATCCATGGTAATATGCAATTTGACAAAGTATTTGTTAGTAATAACTGCTTTGCATTATATCATACATTCACATATCAGCTTCCCTGTCTAAGGAGAAAGCAACTGCACATACTCAAACTAAACTTTCTAATTAATAAGGTCTACAACAGCTCATAATGCATTAGGTTTGTTAATATTTTATTGAATTGTAGGAATGGTCTAACCAGTTGATGTACATGTATGCTTATTCTTTCTTATCCTTTCTGAGTAGTTCTCACTCTATTGTACTTTAAAACAAATACATTAAAAAATGAAGATCTGGAAGGAACATATAACTCCAGCTAAACTAATGTTGGACTCTCAGGATATTCTTTCCATTTTAACCAAAGATTAATCCTACACCTGACACAATATATCAATAGCTATTTTTCATGATCTGCACACTGGTTATAGAAAACAGATGGCTGTCTCATCTTTAAAATTTGTAGCTTATACATACTGTGCAAGCTTTAGAACTGACATCAGTCTTCTTAAGCATGACATTTATTTTCATCACACAAGGCAAAAGTTAAAATTTATAGAGATTGCTGTGTAGTGTTCTGTAACCTTACTTAGTTATTGCCTTTTAGTCAAGAATTGGCATTCAAAAATAACCAGTCCCATTCAGTCTAGCTATTATATACAGATAAAAGTTATATGTACTACATATTTTCTCTGCCTCTCACACAATACGTATAGCACAAATATCCTACTGAAGGTATTAGCAACAGTGAAAGAAAGAAAGAAAGAAAGAAAGAAAGAAAGAAAGAAAGAAAGAAAGAAAGAAAGAAAGAAAGAAAGAAAGAAAGACCCAAATGCCATGTTTGTCTTTAACCCAGGAGAAGCAGATCAAATGAAAATTTTCTCTGAGGTGAATAAAACTACCTCACATACTTAATATATTTTGGTGATAACATTTTTGTAGTTCTGCCTTTAACTATAATGCAGGACATGGAACAAAAATGTACCAATCTGGCAAAAACTATAGTGATAGCCATCAGTATCCAATACAAGTTCACTCTTTAGGAAGAATCAGCTTTCCCTGGCATTAATGACCTCTTTTAATGTTCTGCAGCTTCCCTAGTATCTCTTCTAGCCCCATTTGTTTGAGCAAAATACCATAAAGATTTGTCTGTCTGAATAACAAATATAAAAAAAAATTGAAAGGAGTTTTGAACAGGCCAACAAGTAAAAATTCAAAATTTTAGTTAGCTAAGATTGTTGGTATTACTGAAGTTACAAGCTGGGGATACAGCATCTCATATAACATCTGTTTCTGATTTTATCATCTTTGAATTCTTACATCCTCAAAGTATGCTTGCCAAATACTAGCATACTAATGCAAAACACATGAGAAAGGCACTTTACACCTAAAAAACATCTGAATCTTAATGACATCTGTTCAAGGAGTTTAATATTTTCCCCTTAAAGATTAATAGAGCTAAGTTTTAACACTATGCTGCATTAATCTTTGTGCAGGTTATTAAAAGGACACCAATAGGTTAAAAATCATGGACTGGATTCTCAGGTGGTATATACTGGCCAGTTTGGAATCTGTCCTCATATATTTAAAAAGTTCTGAGTCAGAATGTTCCTGTTCATAGGGCATTGGTTTGGCAAACAATAGAATTAGGTTCTATTCCTGATTCTGCTACTAACTTGTGGTGTGAGCCAAGTGACTTCATGTGTCTATGCTTGTGTTTCTCCTTCCATCCTTTGTCTTGTGCAATTAGAGTGAAGATCTTTGAGCCAGGGTTTGTCATGTGTTTGTAGTAATGGCTAGCATAATGGTGTCCTTATTTTCATTTGATCTGTAGGCACTGCTAAAGTGCAATGGTATGAGAATAAACAACACCGTTGATTATTAAAACAGAATATTTTTTAAAATTCACTTTGCTTTTCCCCACTTATGCTGTTTGTTTCCTGTTTGGATTTCTCCTCCTCTGAAAAGTGCTAAAGAAGCTAGTTCATTTTTATCTGTAGGCATTCAATCCAATCTCTGTCCCAGGTTCTCTCGCACCACCAAAATGGTGCAGTGTCTAAGTTGCAAACACTTTGGTGGATATTAATGCATGTAAAAAACCAGAAACCTGTTTTATTCACAATTAGTGAACAGTTTACGTCTCTAGTGGTTTCAGACCCTATATTGAGATTTTGCTTAAGTTAATTTTACAAAGTCAAATTTTGATATGACAGTGCTAAGTATATATTAGGTTTATGCAAGATGATTGTGTGTGTTAAGTGCATGGGGGAGGTTGTCTCCCAGGATCTCTCCTTTTCTTCCTACTGGGTAGCCTGGGCATCACCACTTCCACAACACTATTCCCCAATACTCCTGACTCTACAGAAGACATTCCACAGTGTCATGGGACTGCTTTATGGGGCAGGAGAAGGTTGAACACAATTATCTCCCTTCCTTAGCTCCACAGTGAAACCAGGGCAGCCAAAGGCCCCCTTCACATTGCTGTGCACATCCTCCCCCTCTTAGAAGGGATTCTGGATAGTTGCTGGCAGAAGAAGCTCTTGCACAGTTTCTCCATTTGAGGAGAGAGCAGGAGGTCCTAGAGCTAAAGCAGAGGCAAAGACCTGCTTTAATGACCGTGCAGAGTCCCAAAATCCAGGAGATTTAAGGGTATCATGCATGTGTCTTTTGCCTCCTCAATAAAATGATTTAGGGAAAAATTCCAGAAGAAGCTCTAGAATTTTCCAGTCTCCACCTCCATTAATCTTGCAGATAAAACAAAGCTAAATGGATTGTGTATTAATGCTACTGCTAACACATAGTTCTTATATGGTGCTTTTGAATTAATTTAGATGCAAAGCATTACTGTATTTAAGATCTCAAAAAGCTTATGTCAACCAACCCTGCCCCCAAGAATGTAGAAAATGGTTACTTATTGGTAACTGTTGTTTCTCTGTGCCTTCACATTTCTGGTATCTAATGTCTCTAATGTTGAGCATCATAACTGTCCAATAGAGCCACATTCACTGGTGGCGCAGTATCACCTTCCTGTTAGAAGGACATCATATACTCGATCTATACAAGGAAGTGCAAATCTCCCCCCGACAACCTTAATTCCTTCTCCCTAGCCTACAGAGTCCTGAAATACCAAGAACACTGAGGAAAGGCTAGGGTGAGTGGGTAGAGCGAATGCACAGAGACAACTGTTAAAGAATAGTGGTTATTAACAAGAGAGAACCTCTACTTACTCTTTGTGAGCTTCTATATATTCCCACTCATGTGAGTTTAGCAGATGATACTACCATCAGATGAAATGGTTGAGTTCAAGGCATAAGTGGGCTGCAGCACCGCTTTACCAAACCAAGCATTGCCACGTGATGCCAAGTCTAACAAATAGTGCTCGCTCCACATGGCTGCTTTGTAAATCTCTACAATAAAAACCCAGCTCAGAAAAGCTAGGGGCAACTATGGCCTTAGCAGAGTACTCAATATATCTCTTAATCCAGTGGGAAAGAGCTTGTTACTAATAGGTTCCCCCTTATACCTCTCCCCATAGGCAACAAATAAGCTGTTTGATTTCCCAATGAGAGTAGTCCCCCCCGGGGAATAGTCCAAATAGCAGCACAGATCTCTTTTTTTGCAGCCAAGTATAAACAGGATTCCCCTGAGTGACTGTAGTTCTTCCTTCTGTCTAGGGAAGACATTGAGGAAAGAAATATGCTGCAACAAATGAAAATCTGAGAACACCTCAGTCATAAAGCTGAGGCAAGGTCTCAAAATGACCTTTTCTGTAGATACTTCTGTGTAGAGTGAAGACCATCAAGGTACTGGGCTTGCTAACTCTCCTAACAGAGGCAATGTCTTTGAAAAATGCCATTTTGACAGAAAGATGTTCTAAGGAGACTTTTAGGTGGACCCACCAATGTCATTACAACTAAGTTCAAGTGCCAGGATGGGGGAAAGGCCTCTTGTAGTAGGAAAGGTTTAAGTCAGTTCCTTATAAAACCTGAGGACTGGAGTGAGAGCATAAAGGCTTGTGTCTAACAAAATTATGACAAAGAAATAGCTGGTAACTTTCAGGGAAGCTACTGCTAGAATGTTTGATTATAAATGCAAGAGAACCTAAAACTGCAAGTACTCCTACCCAGGATGGTGTTAACCTTTCACTTTTGGCCCAGCAACTAAATGGTGTCCATTTTAGTCTAACACTGCAAGGCAGAGTTCTTTCTAGACTGCAACAGTCTGCTTGAACTCACCATGAACATTAATCCTGGCAAGATAATGGAGCAGCTGCTATGGGACTTGAATAAAGAATGAAAGGAGGGTAATATAATTAATGCCAATGAGAAGGGAGTTATGGAAAACAGTCTGTCAAATTAATCTGATATTTTTAGGAGTTTGCAAATTTGGCTGATAAAGATAATAATGTTGATTTAATAAGAATTCTGTTAGGCATTTGACATTGTACTACTACATGGCATTTTGATTAAAAGACATAATACTATAAAATTAACAATGCATATTTTAAATGGATTATAACCTGGCTAACTGCTAAATGCAACTGTAAATAGGGAATCATCTCTGAGCAGATGTGATACCAGAGGGAACCACCACAGAGATTGGTTCTTGGCCCTACACTACTTAGTATTTTATCAATGACGTGGAAGAAAAAGTCCTCATCGGTAAAGTTTACAGATGACCCCAAAATTGGGGGAGAACAAGCTTGGTAAGCGGGGCACAAGCAAACAATACGGCTGTGTCTAGACTGGCAAGTTTTTCTGGAAAATCAGCAGCTTTTCCGGAAAAATTTGCCAGCTGTCTACACTGGCCGCTTGAATTTCCGGAAAAGCACTGACAATCTCATGTAAGATTGTCAGTGCTTTTTCAGAAATACTATGCTGCTCCCGTTCGGGCAAAAGTCTTTTTCCAAAAGACTTTTGCGGAAAAGGGCCAGTGTAGACAGTACAGCACTGTTTTCTGCAAAAAAGCCCCAATCGCGAAAATGGCGATCAGGGCTTTTTTGCGGAAAACCGCGTCTAGATTGGCCATGAACGCTTTTCCGCAAAAAGTGCTTTTGCGGAAAAGCATCCTGCCAATCTAGACGCGCTTTTCCGAAAATGCTTTTAACGGAAAACTTTTCCGTTAAAAGCATTTTTGGAAAATCATGCCAGTTTAGACGTAGCCTACAAGTTTTCATAAAGCTAAATGTAAACTACCAGCAAAGACTATGCTTTCAGGGTGGGAGACTCCATCCGGAAAAGCAGTACTTGTCATACAACTGCAAGCAGTAACACTAGAGAGCTTGGGTTATATATCAAAAGAGGCTTTTTTCTCTGACATTCAGTGTTTTGAATTCTCTCCAACTACCTTTGAAAAATATGTGCAGTTATTTATACAACCATGGTTCCAGCAGGTATACATAGATTAGATCTATAGCTACAGTGATTCTTGCTCACATGTACAGACTGGAATTAAATCGGAAAATTTAATGTTAGAACTGACTTTTTCCTCCAGGCATACTGGAAAGGACCCCCTTAAGCTTTGTCACTTTCCTCTGGACCAGGGAGCAGGGTTCAGCCATTAGAATTAAGGGATCGTGTCCAGATAGTCCTTTTTCCTGTGATTGCAGTGAGAAAGCAGCTCACATTGATGGATCTTTGTTCTATTAATGTTATCTGTGTTTTACTCTCTGCACATACAATGCACTTCAGTGTATTCCCAGGAAATAGCCTCGGCCTCTCTAATAGCGTTACATACTTGAATTATGAATTACTTTATATTGTTGTAGCATCCAAAGGACCCAATCAGCATTGGAACACTATAATGTTAAGTGCTGTTGCAATCACGTAGGTAGAAATGGACCATTGTTATTCGCTAAGCACTGGCAATTTGCTCAGTAATGAATTATCGTTAACACTTTATTTTTGCTATTCTTGGGTTCAACATGAGAATTATAGCACTGATTTTTCTCCCGTCTGGCAGATCCTAGAGTGCAGGACTTCTTGCGTACCGGATATGAAGAAGTGACTAACTCTAGTCAAGGCCTCATGGTTCAGTTGGCATGTGCTCTATTTGTGCAAGCTGGAGTTGATCTGTCTCCCGATTTCATGGACCATACTGCACTCTGGGCAAACAGCAGCCTGCAGAAAACCAACTTCAGTGAGCCTAACAGGACTATCGCACAGATAAATGAATGGGTGACTAATAACACTGAAGGTAAAACAACAAGTAGTACAGATGATGAGGTGGGACACAGCTGTAATAAAAACAATGTGCAGGTAGTAGCGGTTAGCACTATAGCATTGAACTAAGTATAATAAACGTTTAGTACAGGTTGAACCTCTCTAATCCAGAATTCTCTTGTCCAGAAACATCTGTCATCCAAAATTATTTTAGTTAGCTGGATGTCCACTTTTCACAAGTGTGGCCGAGTTTCCTGCGATCCCATAAAGTTTGTTTACAGCCACCAGTCCTGGCTCTCAGTGTTCTGTGCTGTTATTTGGCTCTAATTTACCTCTAAATATCCTCTAACTCAGTAAGCAGCGGAAGTGTTGGTAATGCTGCTAGACAATATTGACCTCCTGTGGTCCAGAAAATACTCTCGTTCGGAACTGGTCAGGTCCTGAGGATTCCAGATTAGAGAGGTGAAACCTGTACTATGTTCTATACAGAGAGTCATAGTCTTAAACTCAAGGGTAGGAACAAGGAACAACTGTGCTATAAGCACTACTGATACTAACTTTAGGCAAGACTGCATTAAGTATAGGTATGTAAATAAAGGATTACAGAATCAAGCCCTTAATCACTTTGCCTTAGTCCCTGGTTTTGTAAAATGGGGATAATACCATCAACCTTGCAGGGATGTTTTAAGAATAATTAGCTAGAGCTAAATTCTTCTAGTACTCACTGCAAAAGATACTTGCAGTAAACTCAGTAAGTAGATGTTCGCAGTATTGACCCATTTGTTTGTACAGTGAAAATAGAAAATGAAATTAGCTAACTTTATTCCTTTACATGACCAGGAAGATAAACTAAATACAGTCAATTTTTCACTAAGATTGGAAGTCATTAGAATCACTGGACCACTGGTTTGTGCCATTGATTTTACATAAATTATATATACTAGAGATTAATTTGGCCTTCAATTTGATTAGTAGGTAACAAATGTGATTTTAAACATGCACACTGAGATTGGTTTTGAGAAGTCTCTTCTATCTTCGTCAAGAGAACTATAATAGGATTTTGTGATAGAAAATGATTGCTCCAGCAAACATGGACAATGTCAGCTCACACTTTTGATAGTTATTCTATATCTTTTGAACTGCCAATGGCTTTCCTGGCAGGGATGTGAATAAAATGGCATGATCAGCTAGAAAACTTCAGATCAGAGCCCTTATTTCATGGCAAAGAGGACACAACCATCAAACCCAAGGCCTGTTTTTTAATCATTGATACTATCAAAGTCTCAGCATAATTTCATATTCAACTCATTTCACATAGATTTAGCCACACTTATTAAATTAATGCTAGAAGCAGTTCTGCAGTCATTTAAGACTGAACGTTTACTATTTTTAGGGGTTTTAAGGTTGGAAGGGACTATCATGACCATCTAGTTTGACCTCCTGCTCATTGCAGGACATGGAATCTCCCCCACCACTCCTGTAATAGGCCCATGATCTCTGGCTTAGTTAGTGAAATCTTCAAAACTTGACACAAGATTTCAAGTTGCAGAGAATCCAGCATTCATTCTAGTTCAAACCAACAAGTGACCCATACCTCACACTGTAGAGGAAGGTTTAAAAAAAAATCTCTTCTAGTCTGATCTGAGGGAAAATTACATCCTGGCCTCAAATGTGGCAATTATATCTCATCTTTTTCTAAGTAGACCAGAAGGTTTACTTTAAATAAACTTGCTACCACAGAAAGTAAAGATAGCAACACTGCTTTAACTATGAAACATGTTAAGTAAGAAAGAATTTGCTATGTCAGTGATCCACCTGTCTTGGTGTCTCTAAAAATATGTATGACTATAACTGATGTTGAATGTAGCGAATACCAAGACAAAGTAAGAGGATACGTTAATTTCCAGAGCTCAGCTATGAACAAAAATATGACACTGTCAGCATCACCCTCATCCCCATTGTTACAAACAGAATGCTGCTCATCTCTGTGATTTATGTCAGCATCACCCTCATCCCAATTGTTACAAACAGAATGCTGCTCATCTCTGTGATTTAGCCACTTGTGTAAGCACGTCAGAACAAAAGGATTCAGAAAAGTTTGAAACAATAATTTAATAATTTGCCCTGTAATTCCACTTTAAAAAAAGAAGATGCAGGATTAGCTCTGCAGTATGTGTGCGAGTGCATGCATGTGTGACAGAGAGAGAGAGAAAGAAAGATAATTCATCTTTTTCTTGCACAGGTGGAGAAGCAGACTGCATATATTTGGACACAGTCAGTTCACCATTTAACCAGATGGCTGTGGTGAGCACCATGTACTTCAAAAGCATATGGCAAAAGAAATTCTCCTTCACAGACACACAGTCCTTGCCTTTTACCACTGCAGAGGGCATCACCCTGAGAGTGCCTACAATGTACCACACAGCTGAAGTCAATTATGGTAACTACTTTTCATGCCACTTTTGACATATAAAACAATATTATAAACTACATACATTTTAAATTCTTTTACTTCCAGAACTGCCTGCAATGTGCTAGATACTGCACAAACATGGAGGAAAGAGCTTTGGGAAACCACCAAGAAAAAAATGTAATAGCTCAGAACCAAACCTTTGCTCTGATATATAAAACCTGGGGCTACGTCTACATTGGCAAGATTTTGCGCAAACACTTTTAACGCAAGAGTTTTTGCGTTAAAGTATTTGCGCAAGAGCGTCTACCCTGGCATGTGCTTTTGCGCAAGAGATGTGCTTTTGCGCAAAAGCACTTGTGCCAGTGTAGACTCACTCTTGCGCAAGAAAGCTCCGATGGCCATTTTAGCCATAGGGCTTTCTTGTGCAAGAAATCCATATTGCCTGTCTACACTGGCCTCTTGTGCAAGAGGGCTTATTCCTGAGCGGGAGCATCATAGTTCTTGTGCAAGAAGCACTGATTTCTTACATTAGAACTTCAGTGTTCTTGCGCAAGAACTCACGGCCAGCGTAGACAGGTGGCCGCTTTTGTGCAAAATCTTGCCAATGTAGACACAGCCTGGGGGTGTGATGTTCCTGTCTCAACTTCTCCTGAAATAGAGGTTATAGTTTAATGATGACTGAAGGCAAAAACAGGAGCCAATAGTGCCCTGCAGTGGCACAGGCATAGGCTTGAACATCTGAACTTTTTTGGTCTCAGTTCCACTCTTGTTAAAATAAATGGCAAACCACCTGCTGACTTCAGTGGGAGCAGGATTAGACTATCACTGCGAGATGGAATGTTGAACAGAACCCAGGGATTTTTCCCTTCTCAGTCTGAAAAGATTCAGATTCTCAATCTGAAAAGAATCTTTACCTGGAGAGCCATTTGAGGATGACAGAAAGAAGGAGTTGATATTTTAACATCTCATCGACAAAAAAGTGTCATTAATATGTTAGCACCCTCTCTCTCACGCTATACAGGCAGTCCCCGGGTTACGTACAAGATAGGGACTGTAGGTTTGTTCTTAAGTTGAATCTGTATATAAGTCGGAACTGGCGTCAGCCGCTGCTGAAACTGATCAGTTTCAACCGCGGCTGAATCTGGACGCCAGTTCTGACTTACATACAGATTCAACTTAAGAAACCCAGGCGTCCCCAAGTCAGCTGCTGCTGAAACTGATCAGCGGCTGATTCCAGGAAGCCTGGGACAGAGCAACTCTGCCTCGGGCTTCCTGTAGTCAGCCGCTGGTCAGTTTCAGCAGCGGCTGGCTTGGGGGCGCCTGGGGCCGGGGAGCGGG